GCAGAAGTCCATAAAATACACCAGAAAAGCAACAGAGAAAAATCAATGAAAGAAAGAGCTGGTTCTTTGAAAAGACTGATAAAAGTGACAAATAGAGCTTATCATTAAAGACCAGGCAGACATCAAAAAGATAATACGAAAATACTATGAACAACTCTACACACATAAATTTGACAATTTATATAATATACAGTAATTACTCGAAAAACACAAACTACCTCAACTCACCCAGTATGAAACAGAACATTCAAATAGCTCTACAACTATTACACAGACCACATTTGTAATTAAAAATCTCCCTAAAACAAAAATCTGAGGCCTGAATACTTTCACTGGCGAATTCTACCAAATGTTTAAAGAATTAACGCCACAGTCTCTTCCAGAGATTGCTGAGTGTTTACTATGTGCCAGGCACTGTTCCATTCCAACTGTTTTTACATGTCTGGAACTCATTTAATCCTTTCAACAACCCTATAAAATAGTCCCTATTATTACTCCACCCCATATGAGGAAAACGAAGCCCAGAGAGTTTATGTACACAGCTAGCACAGAGCATAACTAGGATTCTAGTTTAAACCTTGGGGCTATGCTTGAATCCAATCACATGCTCAGATTTCTTGTATTTTAATCTAATGCCAAATTTATTGTCAAACATCACTTTTGTGAAGGGAAATTCAGATCTGACCAGGATGTGCTATTTCAACAAAGAAGCTGGGGTAATACCAAAGTTGGCATTCTCAACAGAAATATGTGTTTTGTAAGCAAAAATTCCTGCTATCAGTTGCCATACAATTTCCATCTACATGACAGTTAAAATATATCTGTAAACCAGAAAAGAGGTTTCTTCTTGGAAATGATAAGAGCTTCACTATAGCAGAGCCAGTCACACCACACTATAATTACAAGAATCGAAACACTGCTTCATTAATTTTTCCCTGCGTTTGTTATTTTACCTCATCAAGACTAATCACCCCCCTTCCCATTGATTTTATCTAGCACCCTGCGTTAAACACTGCAGACAGCCTGGTTAGAGAAAGCTGTGGTTTATAGGTGCATCTGAACTGCCTCTGTTTAGGAGAAAACAGTATGTGAAAAACATTATATTGACAAATAAAATTTTCCTGACTAATGTTTTCTCTGAACAAAAGTGGAAATACAACTGCCCCCCAAAAAATTATAGTGAAAAATAATTTAAATTTTAATATTCAATAATTGCTCTTCCTACTTATGTTCTTCCTTCTCAACAACTAAGAAACATTAACTCAGCCCTCAAAATAGTCTGTGATGCCCCTGAAGGCAAGGTTTACCCATTTTATATTACAAGACCCTGGCAGACAAAGGCCATGCTGCTGGGAGGGAAGACCAACTCCGAGGGGCATGGGAATTCTGGGAGTTCCAGGGATTGGAGGTGGCCTACATCAGGGTTTCTCCAACTTTTCCAAAGAGGGACCTCTCCCCAGCAGAACAAGGCCCTGCAGTGTTTGAGGATGTACTAATTGCAAGTGCTTCTATCAGGCTGAGCATAAGTAATTATCATCCTTTGGTATTTCCATTATATTCAACCTAATATAACATCTGCTGCGTACAATGCAGCTTTCTAAGCAGTGTCCCAAGCAAAATGTCTTCTACGTCTCCTTTTTTAAAAATTAAGAATCCCGGGCTTCCCTGGTGGCGCAGTGGTTGAGAGTGCGCCTGCCGATGCAGGGGACACGGGTTCGTGCCCCGGTCCGGGAGGATCCCACATGCCGCGGAGCGGCTGGGCCCGTGAGCCATGGCCGCTGAGCCTGAGCATCCGGAGCCTGTGCTCCGCAACGGGAGAACCCACAGCAGTGAGAGGCCCGCGTACCGCACAAAAAATCAATAAATAAATAAAATTAAGAATCCATTCCAATCTTACCCTCTACGAAGTTATACATTTGTTTTAATAAAAATGTTTTCCCCACAAATCTTTGAGAAAAATGTTCTAAGAGGAACATTTTGCCCGTCTATCTTGTGGCTTCACACCTCCCTCACATAGACAGCCATACATTCCCGCTACAACTACATACCCTGCTTTGATTATATGAGGTGATACCCCAGGAAGAGGTTTCAGAGGCAGATCGAGGGAAATAAATGCCTGGCTAGCACTTTGCTATTCCCCAATTCTTCTCTGCAAAATCTCTGCCTTTGATAAGGCCCAAAAACATTGTTAGCATTTATTTTTCCAGGAGGAAATGGACTCATACCACTTGACAGAACGATTAACACCTAAGGAAACAAGTTATAATGCTAGCTCTAACTTCACACAGACAAAAAGACTACTTCCCATACTGGAATCGTTCTAATTGTATTCTGAGGCATAGTTTAATCCAATTTAAAACTGTAATTAAAAATCGTAGCCATCTAGTGCCTCAGATGTGACTCCAAGTTTTCCAAAGGCTTTAAATCCAATCATCAAGATATCAGAAGAACTGTACTGAACTTTTTTCTGCTGTACCTATGGATATGTTCAGAAATTTTTTTTTTAAGACATGAATTAAGGCTCTTAACTTCCATGCTATATCCCCCAACTCTGAAATGTCACTTGGGAAAGAAACTTTCAGACAGTAAAGGTTTCCTGGTAGTCACCCTAATGAGTGACAGGTATGACCTTGCACATTTCTCCCCCTCCTTGCCCCAAATTCTGTTCCCATTTACAATAATGTTACGTGGGGTAATTCATTCATTAAAATATTTCTGGCTACTTTTCTAAACCTCTTGTCCTGAGGACCAGGGGAATTTTTTTTGGACTGACTGACAAGAATGACTTTGGTTTTGACTACACTAACGACTACATCCTTAAACACAAATAACAGAGGAGCTTCAGCCCAGAAAATAATTTCCCTTAAACTTCTAAAGAAACTGGCAATGGGATGATTTCAAAGTTTGAACAATTTAAGGACTTCTGAATTTAAGAAGACACCTAAACTCAAAATAGGAAAACAAAAACATACAACTGAACAGTTAGCATTTTCCTTTGTCATCGGATCTAGATGCTCAGCCTGGCACCTACACAAAGAAGTAATGATTCCACCAGCAGCCTAACAGATGGCAGGCACAAAATGGCTCTAACCTTCTCTGAGAATGCCGCAGAAGAGCTCCATGAAGTTGAATTTAGCAGGATGGGGGCTGCTATTTTCTCTCCGTTACCTCCTGCACAGCATGGCTGTCCATAGCTCAGAGCACTACATCTTAAGGTCTGGAAGTACAGTTACTCAGTTTAACCCTTTCAGACAAGTAAGGGTCTTGAGTTATTATGGAATCCTTTTTCTGCACGGGATTCTGTTCCACCAAATACAACCCAAACTTTTGATCATAACAAAGCAGGCTGAGCATGGTGAAATATTTTTAGGCTCTCTTTTCTTCTATTAGCATTTAAGAGACAGTGGAGCACCTTTTTCTTAGACAGTGAATTATATTTTTCTTAAGGACTAGAGGCAAAACATTAGAAAAAAAGAGTTCTCATACTGCAAACTCCTTCTGCCAGCTAGCTTAAGGATAACCCCTTTTGGGAGAACAAACATTACTTCTGAAGTTGACAGAATTGCTGGCCATGGCATCAGGATCACCTGGGGAGCTTGATGCATTCCTGATGCAGAGGCTGCAGCCTAGAGTCTCAGGGGGTGGGATCCAAGCATCAGTATTTCTGAAGCTCCTCAGGGGGTTCCTATTGGCAGTCGAGGAATGTAAGAAATACTGCATGTTAAGAATTAAATACTGCATTTTAAATGTCTGTCAATTGTTTCTGTAAGTTAATTTTTATTCGAGTCCTCACCACACTGGGTTTGTCATTCTTAGGACTCTACCCCTCTATCTGCCTCAGTCTCTCCAAGGCTCATGTTAAGGTTCTGGCGTCTGCAGGATTAGCCAGAACTAGTTAGCATGACCACCCAGACATCAGGGAAACAAGACACTGATACTGCAGCCCTGAATTCAGGGACGTCCTCAGATCAGGCTGTAATAGAACAGTCTGAAAGTAAAAGACTTTTATGCCAGAAAATCCTGCACCCTGCAGTCATTGTGCACTGTGTGTGGCTCAGATGAGAAGGCGGTCTCATGCAGGGCAGCTCCACCTTTCCGTATATAAGGCTGAGGCTGGAGAGAACCCGTTATCTTCCAAAAAGGGATGAGGTGCCCCCCACTAATTCAGACATGATTACACAACCGTGCAATCTGCTGGTGAGGCTCTGGGGCCATCAAGCTCTACATTTTGTGCTAAGCTCTCCATTATGCTATGCCTCCTGTGCTATTTTCTGCATCCTTTAAGCAATCATGGTGTGATTTACCCAAGAGGTAAATGTGTCTGATCTTACCATCAATTGGTGCCCATTACTGCCCTCTGTCAGTACAATGAAGGTGCAAGCCTCCTGGAAACCCACTGGATCAAGTCAAAAGAGAAGACAAATCCTGCCTTTCTCTTGCATGCAGCAGGTACTCAGTAAGTGCTGGATGAACCAAGGACTCTACCCCTACAGGCCCTCAGGCTCTAACAAAAGAAAGGCATCAACAGGGCTTGGACAAGGCACTCTGGAAACCAGGCACAGAAATCCACTCGCATACATTCAAGTAAAAGGCGGACAAATAAAAGGATAAAGGCAAATCTCACGGAAACCAAGTACAGAAGGTATAGCTGAGCCTCACAAGCAGGTCAACAAGCAGTTGCCCTGTCTCTCCCTCCCCCTTTGGGACCCCATGACTTCACACCACTGTTTGTGCTTCATTTCTTCTTGCTCCGCATATCCTGGTCCTTTGCTCCATTAGCACATGGCCCATTCTGTCACCCAGTAACAGCAGCTTCTGCTTAATTCTGGGAGAAACGTTAACGGCTCAACTTGGGGGAAGTGGGGAGCTAACATCATCTGGCTGGTATAACACTCTTATCTGGGGCTGCTGAAAGGACTAGAATCACTACTACAAATGATAAACACAAGCTCTGCCAGGCGATGTGATACCCTCAAGAAATTAAAATTCACACATAAATATTAGTTGTGACACCTTTATTTCAGAAGGACGGCAGGATTGAATTTCACAGGTATACAACTGATTTATAGCTCTAGATCACAGTAACACTGCATCAAAAACACTTTATCCTGCACAGAAACTTGGCACAGAAATGTTCACTTGTAATCTACTTACGTTTCACATTATAAAACTGGACATATAAAAACACTAACACAGCTGGGGAGACAACAGCTTACAGATCTAAGTAAATCATTTGTAGCAGTATCTCGGTTATCTTGAGGTCACAGATCAGACAACTGCAGTCGAGGATGAGGAAGTAAGTTAGAGGAAGTAGCAGAGCCACTAAAATAATGTCACCAAGTCAATGCAGCAACGTTCATCCATTTCACTGCTGAAAAAAGCCTCCCAAAGACTGACTCAGCTCCTGTTTACTGTTACTTGACATACAGTATGCAATTACAGCAATTCCCAACTCCATATAGTAAAGGAGAGCAAAGTTCCTAGAGACAGGCAGAGTGAAGGAAGAGAGAAACGACAGGGAACAGTGATGGAAAAGAAGAAACTATGAAAACCATGGCAAAACTCAAAGAGCAGAGCCATTCAGTGGAGGGGCTTTAACAAACCTAAATAGGACCTGAAAGAATTCAAAACATAAATGATGACTCTGAAATGATTTCATTATCTTCAGTAGATTCTGTTTGCAAAAGCAGGGAAATGTATACTAAATTAGGAGGAGGCTCAAGAGGGAGGCAATATGGGGATATATATATACGTATAGCTGATTCACTTTGTTGTACAGCAGAAACTAACACAACATTGTAAAGCATTTATGCTCCAATGAAGATGTGAAAAAAAAAAAGAGCTCCGTGTAAATGGCAGAAATAGAGCAAAAAAGATGTGACACTTAAAAGAATAACCTTGAGTCAGCTATACCATGCACCCACGATGTCTGATAAATGGGATATTACTACGCAGGTACTGCTTATAAAATACACAAAGCCATTTATATCAAAAGAATATAGCACCTTTTTATTCCCACGATTGAAACCATAAAAGCCCGTTCATGGTAAAAAGCACCTCAACCATGTAGGGACAGCCTCAGTCAGCTTCTCTGTGCATGAGAACTTTATATTATGTCCTGAGTGATCAGCTGTATTGATCAGTAGGCCCAACTGACTATAAACCCTTCTTCAATGATAGAAGACACAGAGGCCACAAACACCTCCCCTAAATCACTGTTTCTCAAAATCTGGTCTGCGAAACAGCACAACCAAGACTCCTGGTGAACTCGTTTTAAAATGCAGATCCCCGAGTCCCAAATGAAATTCCATGAATCAGAATCTCTGGGGGAGGCCCTGGGAACCTGCAGTTGAGCCCACCTACCCAAGGATTTCTGGTACAAGTAGAAGCCTGGGAATCACTGTAATACATCTGCACCTTCCGTGTGTAGGTTCAGCAACCCAGTCAGGAGGAGACTGGTCAGATCTCTGAATTAACCCTTCCCACCCTTGTTCCTAACGCACCCAGTAAGGCTATACTCCCGGTTTTGACATTTTATAGATAATCAAATTACATGTGGACTTCTAAATGTTTTATCACAGGAAGAAGATTCTGACACATAATAAAAATAAAGTTTAACAAGCCCTAACTAATTTTAAAAGGAGCATACGATTTCTAAGCCATATATGTGAAACCTGAAGTAATGGATGCCCGCGGGGGTGGGGGGCGGAAACTGAGGATAAGTGTCTGATGCAAGTTCAGAGGATTATTTGGGAATGGGGAGGAAAATACATGTAAAAGCAGTCTTGGAGGAGAGGCAGAAAGCAGCTTACAACCAGAATAGGGAAACGCAAATCTCTTAAAAGTTGGCTGAGATGTTTAAGCTGGTCCTTAACACTCTTGAAGCAAAGGCTGGAAACTACTGGCAAACATGTTTTGTTTGGCAGGCACAATGTTTTAAACAATCCTGAATTCGTTGCCAACACATAAAAATCGGGTGATTTCTTTCTTTTTTTTAATACTATCTTTTCCTGGAAAATTGGAAATTGGAAGAACTAGAAAAACCAGCCACTTGGCAACACTGTGCTGGAGCCGGGCAGCAGCTGCCCACCTTTCACCACAGCCACGGTACTCCTGGGGTCTCCCCACTGGCCGCCAGCCTGCTGCACACATCACATCACCTGCCAGACCCCTGCAGGCATTTGCACTGGCCACGTCAGCTTCAAGGAATTAAGGCAAAAAATCAGCCTCTCTGTGCTTCACTCTAACAATAATTCTTACTACAAAGATACTTTCCTACCTTGGAGATGTGAAGAAAGGAATCAGATAATATCTGCAAATCACCCAGAACTGTAGTGTTCGCTGGCCACTGGAATCACCTAGGGAGCTTTAAAAAAACACTGCTGACTGGGTTCCACCCCCAGAGATTCTGACTTATTAGTCCCAGATGTAATAAGGTAGGCAGCAGGAGTGCAGAAAGCTCCCAGGTGGTTCTAATGGACAGTCAAGGTTGAGAACTGCTTTCACAGAATGCAAGTTGTTGAGTATGAAGGGTTACATTCATTCTTTCTTTTTTTTTTTTTGGCTCTGCCAGGAGACTTGCGGGATCTCAGTTCCCCAACCAGGGATTGGACCCAGACCCTGGCAGTGAAAAGCTTGGAGTCCTAACCATCAGGCCACCAGGGAACTCCCAGAATTACGTTTATTCTAACGTCAACCTCCAAGTACAGATTTCTCGCCTCTCACCTCTGTGATAATTCACATCACCTTTTATTTGTGTAAATGCGCTCTTATTCCTAAAGCCTACCAACTGCCATTTACAAACTGGAAAAAGGTCAAAGTGTGTTCTGGTTTCTACCATTCATTTTCCCTCCAACACAACTGAAGAATGAAACACTAAGGAAATGAAGGGAAATTATCCTAAGACACAAAACTCAGGCAGCACAAACAGCTCAAATGCAATAAGAGGAGCTCACAGTGGCAGGCTTGTATTAAAGTTTAAAAAAAGATAAAGAAAAATAAATTTAAGAAAACAATTGCTTTGAAATTCATCATTCACTAAATGGAAAATTTTTCAAATATTAAAAAAAATAATTTCCCCAGGACTTTCCAGTAATGGCCCAACTTGTTTTAACTTAAGACAATGAATTCCAAATTATTGCCCCTCTTCAAGCTTTCTTTTAGGTAGCGTGCATTTACATTTTGGCTTCGGATCATGGGGAATGCAAACTCCCGTCACCTAATTTTCAAACAATACTACTACATTACCTTACGTTAGAAAAGTATATTTCCAAAATGGTTTCAAGTACTAATAATAGCTTCTGTTTACTTCTGTGTACCAGGTAGCATGCTATGCACTTTATCACATGATCTCCAATTGTTCCAACAGCCTCATAAGGTTAACTCTATAATCCCATTTTATAAACCTAAAAAAGGAATCTAGGAAAGATCTTTAAGAAAGATTTTAAATTACATACGTAATCACCGAGCTGCTGCGTGGCCCTGCTCAGACGCAAACCGGAGTCCTTCTGACTCCCAAACCTGTGCTTTGCATACCAAACAACCTTGTTTAATCATCACAAGTAGAAAGACCTGTGCCCAATTATCCCCATTTGCCCAATGAAAAACAGAGAGATCATATAATCTGCTCCACAGCCCAGAATGAGTTAGAAGGAGTCTGTCTCCCCACTCCCCAGGTGCTTTTAAGGACCAATCACAGTTCATGTGTTATATTATAAAAGCTAGCTGACGGCAGGTACGTAGTACTGATGGGGAGAAATCAAATGCTCCTGATTTCTGAGAATCTTCAACATTACTGTGAATATGGCTTAACTTCAACACAGGTATGGTATATTCCTGTCTGTTCCAGGCCACCTAAGAATCAGGTATCAGGTTTAAGTCCTTTATTCGCCCCAGAATCCTCTCATGAATCCTATGAGCAACGACGGAGAGAACAAACAGGCAAGAGCAGCATTTTCCATGCCTCTGGCCCATCCTTGGCTGCCTCAACACCGCCACCAGGCACTCAGCAGGACATCCTGAAGAAGGGCAGACATCACCTTCTATGGGACTTTTCCTTTATTTGTAAAACCGTAGAGATTATGCCATAAGAATCAGCCAGAAGGTCTCAGCTCCACGAGAGCCGCTATCTGAGGTCGGCTCCCAGGGGGAGTGCATCATGTCATATCCCGGCAGAAAGGTTTCCTCTTCTGTAAGCTGCCAACACCGCATTCTTATACCTGTATTTCGAAAACTGTGTCTTTGGATGTGTTGTGTCCGAGAAAAGATTCTCGAGCAAAAGTAGACACAACACAGCTTCCCTGCAAGAGAAAGCAAACAGGCTTTATCACCTAATAAACATGTCTCAACAATCAATACTTATTTGCCCTCTTTTCTGAAGCAACTCTTAAGAGTCACTTGAATTCTATCACTACGGATAATTCTTGAAGAAATTGCATTTCCACCTCCTAATGATCTTCAGACGAAGCAAGCACCTCATTTTATTAATAAACTACCAACTGCCCAGAGGAGCTGGTTCAAAGGGGAGTTAAGATCTAGCTAAAATTAAGGTCTTACTCATTCCGATGTGAAAGAACTCTACTGTGTTTTCGAACCTCACCAAGCCCGGTCTCCCAACTGCCAGCAGCAAGAACAAACAGATGTCAGAGCTACTTGTTTTCTTCAAAAATGACAGGAACTCAAAAATCTATCAGATGGATGTGTCAGCAGCAACACCCCAAGCCCACTGATTAGTGAGATTTATGCACCTCCATTTTGGCTCAGGACAAAATCACTTTCTAAGCTTTTTAACTATCAAACGCCCACTCAGATATACAGGCCAGAGAGATCTAGGGAGCATCTTTAGTGTGAGGTGCCCTACACAATGTGGTCACGTTCTATGTGACTTTAAAGTATGCAAATTTGAAATGTGGTAGAATATAAAAATATTAAATAATGTCTCCTTAGGCACACGTGTGCAGGCCCGTTTTTTTAAAACATTAAGATGTTTTTTTAAAACATTAAGAACTGCAAAATTCCAAAGCTCAAAATTTGAGTACACTGTATACGGCACCTACGCTATTGCCACATCCCAGTGCTATCTTATCTGCTAAACAAAATGCCTATATTCCTACCCCATTCATGCACATGCATTGGAACTTTATGAAGCAATTTTAATGATCACTATTGCTGGTATCTTAACTTCCTTGTTGTGATTATTTTAATGCTTTTTTATGCCTTAAAATAATACCATCCAAGTGGTTATGTTGGCGCTAATGCAGAAAAAATAAACTCTTGCACTATTAACTTTGGAATAGAGGTAAGATGTGATCAAATGCTACATTAAAAAAAGGCCAAACCACCACCACGAGTCCACCTGTTGTTAATTTAGGCAAACTCTAATCCCAGGGAGAGACAACTTTTTCTTAAAGGACCAGACAGTAAATATTTTAGGCTTTGTAGGCTGTAAGATCTCTGTCACAGTTCTTCACTTTTCTGTTGTAGCTGGAACATAGCCAGGAACATAGGTGTTTTCTAATAAAACTTTATTTACAAATGGAGGCCACAGGCTAGATTTGGCCCCCAGGTTACAGTTGGCTGACCTCTGCTCTACAGCTATGGAGCTAATCCCCCCCCCAGCCTTTTCTTTTAACGTAGCATTTTACTGCTCATAAAAGGTAGTTCCCCCATCTACAAACATTCTCCCACTTCCAGTAGATATAATTTTGAGAAAATAAAAAGTTCCATTAAAACAGGTGTATTTCAAACTTGCCAAACTTTGTAAAGTCAGTCAAGAAAATGAGCTAAAAGTAATAAGCTGGCAACAGCACTGCAGCAACAGCAATGCCTCAAAATGCTCCATATCATGTTTTTCGTGATGCTTACATAACTGTACATATGTGTCAAAACTTACCAAATCCTACATTGAAATTAGTCATTTTAACTGTGCACAGATGATACCTAAATGAAGCTGATTTTGAAAAAAGCTTAAAGTCTCAGCAACAGCCCCTAATTTGCAGTAATTATAGATCCAAGTGGTAAGAGTATACACCTCTTACTTCATATTTGCTCCTGAGAAAACTGGTCATAAATTATGACAGTTCCAACTATGTAAATCCTTCGGGAACTCTGTTGCATTAAATGCACCTGTCCTGCACTAAACTAATAGTTATCCAGACTTCAACTATTTCACTTCAGCGAGGAGGAATTGGTTGCTTTTTAGAAACAATACAGGGTGGCACAGTGGTTAAGAATCCGCTTGCCAATGCAGGGGACACAGGTTCGATACCTGGTCCGGGAAGATCCCACATGCCGTGGAGCAACTAAGCCCATGTGCCACAACTACTGAGCCTATGTGCCTCAACTATGGAAGTCTGTGCACCTAGAGCCCGTGCTCCACAACAAGAGAAGCGACAGCAATGGCAATGAGAAGCCCGGCACTGCAACCAAAGTAGAGCCCACTTGCCTCAACTAGAGAAGGCCCATGCACAGCAACGAAGACCCAACACAGCCAAAAATAAATAAAATACAATAAATTAAAATTTAAAAAAAAGGAAATACAAAGCCCTGAGTTCATGACTTAGCTCTCCACCATAGTAAAAGCAAAACAAAAAAACCCATGGGTCATTTAAGACAGGAGGTAATACTTGTTTAGTTTCCTCTTTCCCATTAGCAACACTTTAAATCACAAACTCAAGTTGATAATTTCAAATACGAGTTGTTGTTGAATCTCAACTCTTTTCTTTTCAGTCATCTTTGCTCCACTGTGGAGCCTGTCAACATTCAAGCAGGGGGAAGAAAAAAAGAAAAAAGGGCAAACAAGCAGAAGCAGAGATGCTAAAATCAGGGAAAGGCCCCACAAAGAAAATCATTCCTCCTCTGATTAATCTAAAGTCGATGGAATACGTGACAACACTTTCAAAACCCCAGCTATTAGCTTTCGCGGGGCTTGAGTTTCATCTGTCTCAAACTCAGAGATGAGAACTTATTTAAAGCAATCGTTCTCAAAGTGTGTTCCATGGATCAGCCTCACCGACATCACCTGGGAACTGGCTAGAAGCACAAATTCTCAGGCTCCCCTCCCTGCAGACCTAATGAATCAGAAATTCTGAGAGTGGGGCTCACCAAGCTGTGTTTACCAAATTCTCCAGATGATTCTGATACTCACTAAAGTTTCCAAATCACTAATTTAAAGTCTGAAAACCAATGTACACTTGTAAGTGGAGTTTCCTCGCCCTCTCTTTTAACTTGGAGCTGACTGTAGATCCCACCCTGCAGGATAAGATGGGCTCTGTGCTCAAGTGCACAAGTACTAGTGGTGCTTGGTGAGCCCCACAGGAGGCCAGCCTGGAAAAACAGGGGGATATGGCCAAGTTCTTCTCCACAGCTCTTCACGTACAGAGATGGAGCACGCCACATTTAGATTCCATGCCAACATTTTTTGAGCACCTGCCATGTTCTGGGCTTGTGCTAAATGAAATTATCTTGCTTAGCCGTTCCAATAATAAATAAATGTATTAGTATGTATTATGTATACAGAGGCTTGATATTAATCAGAATGGAGTCAAACCCGCAAACAAGCAAAAACCTTTATAATTCTCCAATTCTCATTCACAGGCCTGGCCAGCATGCTTTGAACGCTGAGGTCCTCGTACACAAATATTCCTTGTGCTTCCTCTTTGGTTAACTGTTCTCAAACTTTATTGTATATCAAAATTAGAGACCAAGTTGCTTATACAAAACCATGTATACTCTAGTTTTAAGCTAACATAAGGAAATTTGAGGTAATTCTGAACTACCCACAACAATGTGTGCTCTACTCAAAGGTTTTACCTTCTCTCAGACGTTAAAAATCAAAGTCCAATCAATCTTGTAAGACGCAAATCCACTATACAAATTTATTTTAGACTTTGAGTCTCTCAGATAATTTTGTTCCGCCCTTTCCACCATGAAGACCATTGTCCTTGAGGCAGACAATAAAAACTTAAGGAATAAAAAAAGGAAGTAATTCCAAAATCCCCCTGCTTATCTGTTAACCCTACATCACTTGCCCTAAAAGTGCCATGTGCTACAGCACAAGTGCTATAATCTTCATCCTGTGCCCGTGGCAGACATCGCTAATCAATCATAGCACTCTTACCCAGAGCTGGAGAGTTATTCTCAAGGCCTTGGAATTCTTCTCAATAGCATTTCAGGGAGCACCCCTGCCCCCAAATCGGGAGGAGTATTCATGACTCGTAAAATGTCTGTATTTCACTGGCCAATCAACATGCCCCTGTCTTGTTTTCTTTTAAACAGTTGAAGCAGTTTAAAGCTGCTCCAAATACAATTTTAAACCCCTCCTTTCACTGTTCTCAGGACAATAAAATTAAGCTTCAGTTAATTCTGAACTGCAGTCTCTACAAACCTATGCCACCTTGAGGGTGCTAATCATGGTGGATTGTGTTAAACAGTTTAAACAATTTGAGTGCAGTTGTAACCCAGGACGTAGTACAAAACTGCTTTGAAAATCAAAGAACCAAGTAAATAAAGGTACAGAACGGATAACAAAAACCTGTGAGGCAGCATCCCACGCATATAACGGGGAAACGTACAGCGTGAATAGCCCAGGGAGGCTGATGCATAATACTCAGGCTTATAAGCATGAAGACATGGCTTGAGTAAATAATTCTGATTTTGCTTTTGGTACTCACTGATGATTCTTTATTCAGCTAAGGGGGCACCACACTGTTCCTTTAACAGCATCTCCATTATTCTAATTCCCTATGGAGAGAAGAAAGAAAAATCAAAATGCCACATTTCACGGACGAGCACTTTCACATTTATCACCACCTTTCCCTTCAAGGAATCCAAGCCATGGCCATATAGTCTTTTCAGAAAAGGCTCGTAGTCATACTTTATTTACATTTTTATAAAATTCCACTCAGCAATTTCACATACATTATCTTCACATGGGCTCAGAACTACTCAGGGAAGCAGGCAGAGCAGAACTGTGAATCTTCCATTTTAAATCTAAGAAAGCCATCCAAGGGATGTTAAGAACTTCCTGAAAGTGGCCCAGTTACTGAGTGGCACTGCTAGCGCTGGAATAATCATGGTAATAGTTAATACTACAACAGTGACATTAAAAATCACAGATCACCATAACGAGTATAATGATATCGAAAAAGTCTGAAATCACTAAAATGTGACACAGAGACACAAAGTGAGCAGACGATGCTGGAAAAATAATGCCGAAAGACTTGCCTGATGCAGGGTAGCCACAAACCTTGAGCTTGTAAAAAGCGCAGTATCTGCGAAGTGTGCTAGAGCAAAGCATGATAAAACGAGGTATGCCTGTGCTCACTGAACACTTACAAATGTGTTAGACTCACTGCTAAGGTCTGTATGTGCATTATCTGAGGTAGTGGGTGCAGGGCGCACCACGGAGATACCCCCAGGGCTCAGGCACTCCTCCCCCTTCTGCCAGCACCATAGACTGGCACACAGCTACCCTCAGCGAAAGGGAGATGCATTCCCTGAGGTCATGCCCCTCTGCAGAGGTGGCCCACATCTCATGGCTGGTGGGTATAGTGTAGAAAGGCCCAGCCCCCGCCCACAATTCGGGACAACTCTGAACAGCATCCCATCGCCACAGTTCCCCACGGGATCAGCTGGGACCTACATCACAACTGCATCGCAGTTCAACGTCACCTTCCACCTAATCCTGCTTGCCTCGCTCCCTTACAAGAGTTGTTTCCGAGAGCCCTCTCCAGTGACCCTCCACATAAAAATGTCCATCTGAGTCTGTGTCCGAGAGCCGACTAGGACACCTTGTTTAATACACACAAAATCTATGAACAAGTACTATTCTTACCCCTGTTTTACTGATGAGAAAAACAGAAATTCAAAGAGAGCTAAGTAACTTTCCCAGCGTTATACAGCTATTAAGCAATAAAGCCAGGGAAGGAACAGACACTGAATTCTGGTTTCAAGGGCACCCCTTAACCTTGCAAGGCTCACTCCGTGACTGTATGTATCAAGCTGTTTGTACTCATCAAGCTGACTACCTACCCACCCCGGCCGGTCAAATTCTACCCTGGAAGAAAGAGGAAGCAGATACTCCCTCTTTCCTCCTTCAAGGACAAGTTCTGTACCAGAGGCTGAACCTTCAGATGGAAAGGCAGGATGGTGATGTAATTATGAACTGGGGTGTTAAGGAACTCAAAGCTGGATTGTGGGGAATGGGACACGATGCTCTCAGGGACAGGAGTGTGGATGACAGGGAATAATAATGATCAACACTAACTTAAACTGCAGGTCCCCAGGCCCCGCACAGGAAGGCTTTGATTTCATAGGACTCAAGGAGGCCCCAGAGAGCTGTACCTTTAACAAGTACCAGCTGCTCGCCATGGTCAGGCCGGGCTGGGAGACACTGAGTGGGCCTCCAAGTGAAAGGCAGGGACTTCTTACCTGGGGTTTGTTCTGAGCCACGGGAGGGGGATGCACCTCGAGAAGACAATAAAATATATTGAGTACCAAAGTACACTGAACAAAATCTAACGTTTCCTTGAGGTTTCCGAAGGTCCTTCAGATTCTAGCTGGCTGTCACCACAAATACTGCCACTAGCTGGAGAGGAGGAAGTATTAATTAAAGGATCTTGACAATGCCAAGGAGCACGGACTGTGGGGTGAGCCAAAACAGTAGACTGTAGGACCAGGAGCCCTGTTGTCAGAGTCAAGAGACCTGGGTTCTGGTCACAGCCCTGCCAATTATTCTGCTGGGTACCTTAGGCTAATCACTTTTACAAAGTTGTAGCTTAGACCAGAGAGCTAAGGGGCCTGGGAGGTTGACTGGATAGTGCAGGCACACACCAGAACTACTGGGGGAACCCACAAAAGCGAATACAGGTTCCCAAGCCCTACCCAGACCCATTCAACCAGAACTTCGAGGGCTGGGGCATGGAATCTGCAAACATTCCTCATGTGGTTCTGAAGCACAACTAGCTCATATACTAGAATTTGTAAAAAGCAGCTTGATACCACCTCTGCAAGCCTGGGAATTGAGGAAAAAATGGTCCTTAATCATTTGTGAAGATACAGTATATACTCTTGTACTCTTAGAGCTACTCACCTTTTTAAGAATTAGGGGGAAAAGGAGGGGCTGGGGGATGAAACAACCAGTGGAATGAAATTTAACTTAATTCTTAACCTAAGATCTGAATTGGGCTCACTTCTGCTCTCTCTCACTCAAGCACAGAACAGTTAACAAATATTTACCTGCTATGTGCACTGGAGATGAAGTGGTGAACAGACCTAAGTCCCTGCATTCATGGAACTTACAGACTAATAGATTTCATTCCCCTTGTCTCAACTTCTTTTGTTTGTTTCAACAAACCCCTGAGCAATAATTAAATGCCTGCCTTCTATTTTCAGGAAGAATAAAAATAGCCATGTTATGTCACAGTTGCAAGCTTCTTTTTGCACAGTGGGCCCATAAGTCTTGTCGGTATGTCTTTAAAACCAGAAAAGCAGACTCCTTCCTTAGGAAGTGAGCACAGGTGAGCTCTTCCCATCTGTCTAAATTAAGAACGCCACCATCTACTGAGCTGAGTGCTAACTGACATAAGTGAAGACGCTGGGGTTTGCCTTGGGAATTGAAAGACATTATTTATTGAATCAATTATGCTCAGACTGTGACAGTTGATTTTCTTTCCCTTTTTTCCCCCTCTCTCATACCTCTTTAGTCTTTTTAAGCAGAACAGTTAGAAACAGAAGGTGGAGAACAGGGGCAAACAGAGAGAGATCTATAAATGAATTAAAAACAAAAAACAAAAAACCTACCAGGGAGGCCAAGCCATTATTTAGTCTGTCTCTTTGGTAAGGAAGGACCAAATCAAAACCCAATCGACAGAGTCCTTTCGAATAGTTTCAATGCTTAAAATTCAACCCCTAAGAGATCAGGCTTAAAGGGGCTAAATTTACACCACTTATCACACAGTGATGCCTGAATTGCAGAACAAATATTACGTGGATCCACCTTTATAGATAGAGCTTAACTTAAAAGCTTTTTGGACTAACAAACCATAAACCAGCTTGATTTTATTATGTCCTTCCCCTCCGAGAATTTTTTCTCCCTGTTACCAGGCCATCTTTTTGTATTTGCCAAGGTACAGACAAGGGAGTCCTCTCAGGCTCATTTCCCTAATACCAGGGCTGTGCTGGCCAGACACGTTCCCACAGAGGAGTCCCAGAGTCACGTCTTTCAGATTCAAAACACTTCACCAATTCCCCACTCCAGAAGTATCTGAAAAATAGCTGATTATTACAGAAAACGAAAAGCTTGCCTGAAGAGAAGGCAGAATAAGTTGGAACTAAATGTGGCTAGATCCAGATGCTATCTTTATTTTGTTATCAAACTGATGCTTCCTTAAGAAGCTCTGATTTACCTATGAGTCCCCAAAGAGGGCTGCATGAAGGGAGGACCTGCAGAAGCTGCTAGAAGATGAATGGTTTGAATAAGACCCAAGCCTGGTTATGAGTGTGACACACAGAGTGAGGGGAAGGTCCAAGCAGAGGAGAAGAGGGTAATATTAGACGTTATAAAAATTACAAAGTTCTTGGGGAGTTCCCTGGCCATCCAGTGGTTAGGACTCTGTGCTTCCACTGCCAGGGGCCTGGGTTCGATCCCTGGTTGCGGAACTAAGATCCCACAAGCTGTGCGGCACAGCCAAAAAAAAAAAAAATTACAAAGTTCTAAAGCACTTCTCAAAAGACACATAAATAGGGAGCTCTTAACAAAAGAGAATTGCTCAGTTAGTTATCACAATGATAAAAGATTGGCCATAATCAGATGAAGAACAACTGTTTGTGTACTGAGTGTTTACCAGAAGCTAGGTACTGTGATAACCAGATTACGCACTGGAAGACCTCTCCTCCCGCCACTGAAAACAAGATTTCTTTTGGATCATGGCTTTGGAATAAGTACCGGAAACAGTATCCATGCCCATTGTGTGTAAAAGACTGCACTGCTGCTGTGAGGAATGAGATGCATATAAGACTTGATGTTTCTACTCAAGAGGGCATCATCGGTCTCTTGGGAGGAATTAGAGGAATGCAAAATAACTGAAAAACAACACAGCCTCTGAGAAACATTACCACACTTGGGGAAAAAAAAAAAAGGTCAATGAAAGAAGGGAAGTAGAGACTGATCTTGTGTGAACGGAGGACCTGCAGAAGCTGCTAGAAGGTGAATGGTTTGTACAAGACCCAAGCCTGGTTATGAGTGTGACATACAGAGTGAGGGGAAGGTCCAAGCAGAGGGATTAACAAAAGGCATGGGGGTGGGAACATCAGTCCATGTGCAGTTAAACGGACTGGATGCAGCAGGAGATGAGACTATTACACTTCCAATGTTTCCACTCCCCCGCAAACTCCCCACCTGCTCACACATACTCTTCCTCCCACCTTAGTTCTGCTCTTTCCTGGAAGAGACAACAGCACATAAAACATCTCACAAATAGCCCTGTAATTATGCAACAACACTCTGAAAAGGTTTTAGGGTTGAGTCCAAGCTAGCTGTGAAACCTTGGGCACTTTACTTAAATTCTCCAACCTTCAACTGCCTCATCTTTGAATGGAGATAATATAGTAACATGGATTTGTGCTAAGAATTTGTCAAAATAATGTCTGATCTGGTTACCACAGTACCTAGCCTCTGGTAAACACTCAGTAAATGGTTGTTCATCTAAATCTCTTTCATGATCATCTAATCCCACTAGAAT